AGCATTTTGTTGAAAATCAATTGGCCTTAAATGAAAGTAATTATTTTTAAATCCTCAATTTCATTCCACTAATGTATGTCTATGCTTATGGCAGTAACACATTGTCTTAAATTCTGTAATTTGTGGTAAGCTTTAGAAATGGCAAGTATGAGCCTACCAACTTTCTGTGATTTCTTTTCCTTTTTGAAATTATTTTGCCTATCTGGGATTCTTGCAATTCCATTTCAATATTAAGGTCAGCTTTTCTATTTTGGAAAATGAATGAGTTGGAATTTTGATAGGAATTGTGTTAAATCTGTTCAATTACCATCTGAAAAACATTAAGAATTTTAAAAATCCATGAAGATGAGATGGCTGTCCATTCATTTATCTTTTTAAATATTGTCAGTGTCATTTGGTAGCTATCATTGTACAAGTTTTGGAAACTTTGGTTAAAATTGTTATTATTTTTGATGCAACTGTAAAGGTTTGTTTACCTAGTGTCATTTTAAATTTGTCGACTGCTGTTGTCCATTTTCCTAGATTGATAGTCCACACAATCCAGCTATTAATGGATGTTTGCCAACATTCTCATTTTGAGTCAAGTTCCATCAGCAAATGAAAGGTGGCTGTCATGCTGGAAGCTATGTCACCTGTATTTCAAATGCCAGAAGGGTCACTCAGGTTTCAGCAGAGCATCCACATTAAAAACAGACTAAGAAGAAGGAAGACACAGTCCATTTCTGGAAAATAGACACTGAGAAAGAATCTTATGAGTATTGGTGGGACATTTTCTGATCTTTTGCCAGAAGATGAGCATTGGAAGGCATTCAAAATACTCCTGTAAAAAGCTGCCTCCTCAAAGTGGGGTTGACCTTAATGACATGGATGGAGCAAAGTTTTCTGAACCTCCATTTACTGATGGTCAAAATGAGAAGAAACAGCTGAAAACATCTATTAATAATTGGAACACAGAATGTACCTAGTATGAATCTAAGAAAACTGGAAGTCCTCAACAATAAAATAAAATGCATAGGGATTGGTATCCTCGGCATTAGAGAGCTGAAATGGACTAAGACTGGCCATTTTTTATTGTACAATCATATAGCTTACTATCCCGGGAACAAAAACTGGAAGAGGAATAACATACTCAGTATATTGTAATCTCAAAGAACTGAAGAAAAAACATTCAAGTTGCAAGTTGCAATATTTCAGGATTCTTTGGGCAAAATATTCAATGATATAGCAAGCATCAAAAAAAGATAGGAAAAATGTACTGTACCAAAAACAATTGGTTGATATTCACCCCTTTGAAGAGGTAGATCAAGAACTAATGGTATTAAAGGAAGAAGTTCAAGCTGTACTAAAGGCACTGGTAAAAAGCAAGGTTCCAGAAAGTTAGAGAATACCAATGGAAATGTTAAAAAGTCAAACAAAAACTGATGCAGCACCAGAAGCAATCCAAGCCTAGACATTTGGGAGACAGCAACCTGGCCAACAGACTAGAAGAGATCCATATTTGTGTGCACTCAAAAAATAAATGTGACCAAACAGAATGCAGAATGTATTAAGCAATATAATTAACACCATATTAAAGTAACATTTTGATGAAGATTAGTTAAAAACTGTTGCAACAATACATACACAGGGAGCTGTCAGAAATTCAAGCCAGATTCAGAAGAGGGCGTGGAAAAAGGAAATCATTTCAACATCAGATGGATTCTTCTCTATTTTTGAAAAGAGAAGAGTTCTGTAATTTTGTTTGGTTGTCAGCACACATAGTAAAACATAGCTTCTACATGTACAATTTAGTGATAATGAACATTCTTGCAGCTATACAACCATTTGCACCCACTCTCATTAACAAACTCACTACCCCATAAAGAATCTAATCTTTCAAATACATATTGTCCATGTGATCCCCCATAGACCCGTGTCAAAATAGCATAATGCTCAAGCAGGCTAACCAACTTTAAGACGACTTCAGGGGATAGTTTGAGTGAAGAAGAAAAAGACTTCAATATCATTCCAGGTAACTGAGTATCCTTCTTTGCTACAACACCCAAACTTGACAATACTTTTTTTATGCTATTACATCATTTTATACTATTACATTAAAATCCATTGTACTCTTTCACTTATAATGGATTTTTAGTAGCAATACTTGGAAGTGTTGTTTCACCAAGTAATGGCACATTACTTCTAAATGTTAGCATATGACATTATTCAGAAAGTTAATTGTCACCATCTATCTCAACTGAAGACAAGCTGGTGGCAGGAAAGTGTTCCCTATAATCCTAATTTCTATATAATAATCTACTTTTTGTCATGGCAATTAATACTGCACATTGTTTAGTTGAAGTAACAGGCAGTTTATTTGAGAACATGTCTGGGAAATGAGTATGTTTAAATAGCCATCACCTGTCTGCTACTCACCCTTTAACAAAAAATGGTCTGTGAATAAAGTGGGTAGGCCAACTCACAGCTCAAACGATGGATCTTTTTCTGTCTTGATCTTGTATCCTACAACTTTCCCCAACTCATTTATTAGCTCTAATGGTTTTAGAGCATTTTGTTTTGCTTTCATTCACTATATTCTATATATTACCCAAAAAAGTATGTTATCTGCAAATAGAGGTCATTTTACTCCTTCCTTTCCAGTCTGGATTCCTTCGATTACTTGGTCGTGCCTAATTGCCCTAGCTAGAACCTGCAGTTCAATGTTAAATCTTTACCACAGACAAAGTGCTACAGGGAAAAAGATGAGTGCAGGGCTTCAGAGTCACAGCTCACGTGTCACGGAGCAGATCTCAAAGTTACCACTTGTGCCTTGAAAACAAGTCTTATATTTTGTAGTAACTGAGCTGATGTTGTTTGAAAGTCAGAACCAGAGTCTTACCATAAGAGTGCCTGAATTACAATCCCAACTGAATTCCCAATTCTGAATTATATCTCATATTAAAGTGAGGCTATTTATTGGGGAGAAATGGGATCCTGAAATGTGGGATGGGGCATATGGATAGATAATCAAGAAGATGGAAACAGTGGGCACCTAAATTCCATTGAATCACTTCAGTCAACAGCATCATCCCTCCCATATGAAGAGAATACTTTTTTGGAAGAGATTATTCCACTTTTGCCTGTAAATTTCTTCTCCGTAAAACCATTATCCCTTCCATCACATTTGAGATTAACCTAACTGTGCATTTTCCTATAGACCAACTGGTGGGGGTGGGGGATGGAGGGTGAAATAGCACCTACCTGATAACTCACACGTTGAGCATCTTTTCACCTGATGGCTGGCCCATTTCTGTATCTTTGGTGAAATGTCTACTCAACTCCTTTGCTCATTGTGATTGGGTTGCTTATATTTTTGTTGACAGATTGTAGAATTTCTTTACTTAATTTTTATACTATTGTTCTTAGCTGCCACCAAGTCAACCCCCAATTCCTGGTGACCGTATAGCTCAAAGAGCAGAACTTCTCTACGGGGTTTTCTTGGTTGTAATGTTTATGGAAGCGGGTGGGTTCAAATCACCAAGTTTGAGGTTCTTAGCCAATTACAAACTGCTTTTATCACCCAGGCTCCTTATATTCTGGACATTAAAAGCTTAAGATAAACAATTCACACATATTTTCTCCCATTCTTTAGGTTGTCTTTTCTGTGATAAAATCCTTTGTTGCATAAAAATGTTTATTTCTTGATAAAGTTCAACTTATCCATGTTGTCATTTTTTACTCATGCTTATGGAGTCATATTTAAGAATCCATGTCAGAAAGCAGGCATTTGAAATACAGTAGATAGACTTTTATAAAAACAAAACAAGGACGCCATTTAAAGCACTGTGATGAGCCTGACCCAAGCCATGCTGTTTTTCTCATATGCATGTGAAAATCGGACGCTGAGCAAGCAAGACCGGAGAGTTGATGCCTTTGAATTATTTTGCTGATGAGAAATACTGAAGTACCAGGGACTGCCGAAGAACAAACACATCTGCCTGGGAGGAAGTACAGCCAGGATGCTCCTTGGAAGGATGGTGAGACATCGCCCAGGTAACCTGAACCTGTTATCAAAGGAGACCAGTCCCTGGAAAAGAACACCACACTCGGTAAAACTGAAGCGCAACAAAAAATAAGAGGAAGACCCTCGACGAGGTGGACTGGCACAGTGGCTGCAACAGTGGGCTCAACATGACAGCAATGATGAGGACGGCACGGGGCAGGGTTGTGTTTTGTTCTGTCGTACAGGCCTCAGCATGAGTCAGAACGGACTCAATGGCACCTGACAACGTTTGTAACCATGGAAGTGCTTCAGCTGTTAGATGTGGCGTTTGAGCGAGGACTTTGACTTAACAGATCACAAAATGGGCATTTTCATGTAACTGGGGGGTAAAGTCCTGTCCCAGGAGCAGCATTCTTCCTTTGCTTTAGGCCGAGGGTCCCTGCGAGGAACCTGTCAGCATGCTGGCAGGTGGAAGGCTCCGGCTGCTCCCAGGGAGCCAGGCTGTCTACCCCAGCTCTGGTCTCACAGACTCATGGGCTCCTTGAAGACCAGGTAGAGTTCCAGGAGTCGACGTCGACCCGATGGCAGAGAGTTTTCTGTTTTAGAACTGCCCCATGAAGTGTCCAAGTTTGTAAAGTGGGGGAGGGCCGGGCTGGGGACGCGTCGCATTTTCCTTCGGTTCGCAGCAAAGACTTTAACCAATGCGCCACCAGGGCTCCAGGGTTTAGGCCCTCCAGGAGTTATTCGCCAAACACTGCACTCAGGAGACGGACGATTACCGTAAGTAATCGTGGAACACGACAGCGCGGGGACGCTAACCTCGTCAGCAGCGCCCATTGCCCGACCCCTCCCCCCGCAGTCGACCCGGGCGGACGCGCCCGCCGGGCAAGGTGGGTCTAAAGCGGAGTCACGCGCCACGGAGTCACGGTGCTCAGAGGCCCCGCCCAGGCGCCGGCACAGCCAATCGAGACGTGGAGAGGCGGGGGGTAGGCGGTGCTGAACGGGCTGCGACCCCGAGCTTTAAACCCGGCTGAGCCCAGGGCCTCAGCTTACAAGCTTGGGCGCCGGGACCCCGTACGTCTTGTGTGGACTGCGCCTGCGCCAGCTGCGGGCCCTGCAGGTAAGCGCGTTGATTGGGGCGGCTAGTTGAGGGGCGGCTGGTCCCCTGGAGGAGGGACCCCTGTAGGTGTCCTGGTGGGCAGCCGGCATTCTTTACGGGACGAGAATTCCGCCGAGGGCTGGTATTGTTGGGTTCAGACTGTGCCCCCGTCCTGCGGGCCCCGGCAGGGGCGGAGGGGAGGCGGCGCGGGCGCCCTGGATGGACGAGCCACCCCAGTGGGTCCCTGAGCCGTCTGGGCACGGGTTGGCCTGGAGGCCTGGGCGGCGCTGGATGCGGGCCCCCGCCCTGGTCTGCGGCCCGGCCAAGGGCCGGGCGTTTCCTCCGCCGCGGTAAACATCCTGGGAAAAGAGGGGTGGGGGTGGGCCCGCGGGCAGGCCCTTCCCTGCGACCCCTGGTGTGGGCCCCAGCCCGGGTGGTGCTTTGAATCCGGGAACTGTCCGTGGCACAGGCCCTACAGGGTGCCGATGTCAGGAGCCGCCCCTTCCCCACTTGTGGGAAAGCAACATAGATTTTATTTCGGAGGAGCTTGGTGGAACTGACTATAACACTTGTCCGTCTGCTATTTATTTGGTGGCTGAATCAAATGACTCTTCATAAATGCTGGGCTTGGTTTTCCTCCAACCAAGTCTTTCTTTGTCTTTGCATAAGTACTTGGGGAGATAATTTAAATAGTTCCTCTCTACCATGGGGGCTGTAGCTTTTCAAGTGTAAGCTTCTTAAAACGATTGGTTAGTTACTTATTTTTCTTTCCCCTCCCTAGATTTTTGAACATGAATCCTTTCCTTTTTCTGGCTATCATTTGCTTGGGAATAGTCTCAGCTGCGCTAAAACATGATCAAAATCTAGATGCTCGGTGGCATCAGTGGAAGTCAACACACAAGAGACCATATAGCACGGTTGGTATCTCCTGAAACGGCCAAAAAGGGCCCTCAGAGGGAATGGTCCTTGCTGGTTGGGGGCAGGGAGCGACACAGGTTCCAGAGGCCCGCACTTACCAAGGCTTTCCTTGATGGTGCCCACTCCTGAATGCACAGTGGTTGGCACACGCCCCTGCTATGTCAGAGAGGGAGGAGAGCTCCCAGCGCCATGGAGCTGTCATTGGCTATGGTCTGTCTTCCATCTAATGCATCACTTGGTGGGAGTGATTGGGATTTCATTGTAAATAATGACAATCAAGTATGGCTGTCTCTAGAATGAAGAAGATTGGAGGAGAGCAGTCTGGGAGAAAAATGTGAAGATGATTGAACTGCACAATCAAGAATACAGCCAAGGAAAGCATGGCTTCACCTTGGGCATGAATGCTTTTGGGGACATGGTGAGTGCAGCAGTTACTGATTATGAAACTCTTTATATTTCCTCTCCTCACGACTTAAGCAAAATACTCTCTTGTTTCTGCAACATTTTATCTTTTCTTTGAAGACCAATGAAGAATTCAGACAGGTGATGAATGGCTTTCAAATCCAGAAACATAATGGGAAGACATTCCATGAATCTTCTTCTGATAATATCCCCAAATCTGTGGATTGGCGTCAGAAAGGTTATGTGACCCCTGTGAAGAATCAGGTATGTCATCATCATTGACATTTGGCTTTATCTTGAATAGTAAAAGCTCTTTGCTAGTTATTGAACAGGCAATTTTGCTTTTTTTTTTTTTCTTGTGAGAACGTTGAGATCTATGGATCGTTACCAGTCTTTCTGTTTGTCTTATAAACTGACAACTTTTAAATCTGTCTTTTCAGGGTCAATGTGGTTCTTGTTGGGCTTTTAGTGCAACTGGTGCCCTTGAAGGACAGATGTTCCGGAAAACTGGCAGCCTTGTTTCTCTCAGTGAGCAGAACCTGGTGGACTGCTCTCGGTCTGAAGGCAATGAGGGCTGCAATGGGGGCCTCATGGATAATGCTTTCCAGTACATTAAGAAAAATGGAGGCCTGGATTCAGAGGAATCATATCCTTATCTTGGAACGGTAAATGGAGCTTTTTACCTGGTTGTCATTCAAGCCCTGTGGAAAGTGGAACACTTTTAAGGATCAGGCACTTGATTTAGCATTCACATTTTGCATGGTAGAGTCTTTCTGTAGCAGTCAGAACTCTTGTAGAGTGTTATTAGCTGTTGGTCTGTGTAACAATTTCTCCAGAGATAACAACAGCAACATTTGAAGGCCAAGTGGGGCTCCGGGTAACACATCATTCCTCCTTCACTAAGTCTTTTCCAGAGAGATATCAATGAGGAGCATCTGGGTTGGTTTTTTTTTGGTTTGTTTGTTTTCAGGTTCATAACAGCCAATGATATTACACTCTTTGTGCTGCTTGATACCAAGATTGACTTGAAATCACTAAGCTGCAAACTGTTGAGCCTTGAGGTCCTAAACTCATCTTCAATCAGGGGTTGAATGGTAATAACTATGTGTCTTTCCTGTTTACCTCTAAAAGGACACAGGGGATTGTCACTACAATCCTAAGTATTCTGCTGCCAATGATACTGGCTTCATAAACATCCGTCAGCTGGAGAAGGACCTGATGAAGGCAGTGGCAAGTGTGGGTCCCATCTCTGTTGCTATTGATGCAAGCCTGATGACCTTCCAGTTCTACAAAAATGGTAGGCTTGCTTCTTTGTATTGTAGAAGTAAGGCAGAAGGTTGGGAGAACCATCCTCATGGACCAGTGTGACTCGGGTATGCAGAATTTTGGGTGTACATTTAACATTCAGTATGGGCTATTTTTGCTTTAAGCAAAGTCTCATGATAATAAGCAGTTCATAAATAACTTTAAATGGGTACATAATTCTATAGATATGTTTCATTTACTTTGTCTTCAATTTTGGGGACCAACCTGTAAGATTTTCCCTAAGATTTATATTTCTGTAATCAATGCTTGGTTAAGTATTTTTGCATCCTTTGCTTCCTTTGGGGTAATGTCTCGGTGGTGCTAATGAAGTGGGCTAGACCACTAGCCTTAAAGTAAATGGAGTTATTCCTCGGTCATTGAAGGAGCTTCAGTGGCCCAGTGGGTGGTAAGTATTGGGATGCTACAAGAACTGACCAGAAGTTCAAGCTCATCATCCACTCAAAGCCATAACAGCCAATGACATTTCACTCTTTGTGGGGGAGAAAGATGAGAAGATGTTCCCATAAAGAGTTGCAGTCTTGGAAAATCTGAAGAGCGGGTCTACTCTGTCTTATTGAGTCACAGGATCAATTTGATGGCTGTGGGTTTGGTTTAGTGATCTTGGAAGAAGGATCTGATCATCTCTTCCCGAAAGACTACAGCTTAAAAAAACCCACTTTTAATGTCATTCTACCTGTAATAAATGAGTTTGTTATAAGTCAGAATCAGCTATAGGACAGTGTGTTTTGGTTTTTGTTCATTTGGTTATTTTGTTCTGTGTACACAGTTTCTGTAGAATGTTATCCATGGAATAGAAGGCCAAGGTTTTAAAATCCTAGTCTTCTAAGTTGTTTACAAAAAGGATGATGTTACTTTATATTTCTGCTATAGGAGATAAGGGTCTAAATTGTTGTAACCTTCATTTTAGACAGCTTGTTAAGTCTCATCTGGAATGTTTCCCTGAACTGTGAGATGTTCTCTTTAATGAGTTGGTGAGGCCAATTACTGCCATGAGCTGCTTTGTGGAGCTTCTCACTCTGGTGACGATTTCTCTTCCAGGAATTTATTTCGATTCAAGCTGCAGCAGCAAGGATCTGGACCATGGTGTTCTGGTGGTTGGCTATGGCTTTGAAGGAAAAGAATCAGACTCAAACAACAAATACTGGATTGTCAAGAACAGGTTAAAAAACTCCAATAATATATTTGAAATTGAAAGAGGAATTCATGTTTGGAATTACTATTTGGATACAGACTCACAAAAACCTCCCAATTACAAAATCTAGCTGTGTTCTTCCTGCTTAGGTTGAACATAGAAATATCGCGACCTGATTAAGAGCTTTGGTCCCAAGCTTGCTTCCATTTTAATGTGGTATTTGTAGCATTACCTTCTGAATAGTGAAAAACTAATTCTGCAAGGTACCTGGCCCTAAGGGTTTTCTCCTTTATTTGAAGTTGCAATATAGAATTAGATGGAAGTTAAACACCCTCTACCCCCACACAAGAAAATTACCATTATTTGACCCCAATCCATAGCGACCTCAAATATGCACAGTTGTGCTCACCAGGGTTTTCAGTGACTGGTTTTCAGGAAGTGATTACCAGGCAGCCAAGGTGGGTTTGAACAGGCAACCTTTTGGTTAGCTATGAAGAACTTAACTGTTTGTGATATGAGGACCCTACTGTGTAGGTTTAGAACTCAAAAATGTATAAATAATGAACACCTGCCTCATTCTCTTAAATCTGCAAGATTATCCACATTGGCCTAGGAGACCATGGGCCTCTGACACACAAAGTATTGTTATTAATAAGATTTAAATAGAGTATCCTGAATTCTTTGTATAACATATAACTTTTTTTTTTTTAAGCTGGGGCACAACTTGGGGTGTAGATGGGTACATAAAGATGGCCAAGGACCGAGACAACCACTGTGGAATTGCCACGGCAGCCAGCTACCCTACCATGTAAGAGCAGACGCACTACTCGGAAAAGGAAGATTCCTGGATGGCTTTCCCGAAGGGATGTTATCTTAGAACTGACCAGCCCTTATTATTGGGATGAAACACTTGAATCATTGAAGATCCAAGTTGTGATTTGAATTCTGTGACATTTTTACACTGGTAAAATGTTACCACTACTTTAATTACTGCTGTAAACAGTTTTGTAATATTGACTCATTGCTTGATGTTAAGACTTGAACTTCCATTAAAAAAGAAGTATATAAAGTCTGACCTTTTTAAATAAAACTTAAATTTCATGTGTAAAGGAGGGGCTTCTGTTTCACTGCGTTGGGTTTCCATGTAGTTGAGATGTCATTGGGATATAAAAACATAACAGTCTCAGTCGTGCATTGGGAGCCGGCCACTGGGTGGCCTCTGGACTTCTAGATATGAATTGGCATCCTTTTTAAGCTCCTTATTTGGTCTGTCTGACCCACTTCTGGAGTAAAGCAGATTTTTCAAAAGATTTCCTAGAAGGACCAAGGTGAATTGTTTTAATAAAGAAATTAGAAACACTATTATAAATATTAGTGAATTAGAATGATCATGTCAGTGATTTAAGTATTAAAAAGGAGCCTTGGAGGTCATCTGTAAATGGTACAGGATAATCATAACCCATGAGGAAAACCATTTTCTGGCATCTCAAATTGCTGGTAAGGAGCCCTGGTGTTGTAATAGCTACAGGTAGGGCTGATAAATGAGTTCAAGATCCACAAGGCAAGAAGGATATATCTGTTCAAGGATGAGATGAAAAAACTGCTGTGGCTGAAGATAGAAGAGGAGAGAGACAAGATCAGCCCCAACAATTTAATCCTTATGAGTCCCTCAAATGGTAACTCGGGGTGGGGGTGGGGGGGGAGTTATATATATACATTCTGATTCTGAAGGTCAGCCTTTAAAACTCCAAAAATATAGTTCTACTTTGACATTCATAGGTTAGTATGAGTCAAAAGTTACATAATCCCTTAATTTTAAAGAACAAGTATCAAAATGAGAAGAAACAGCTGTGAACGCCACCAGGGCTCAGGGCACTAGAGAACTGGAACAGACTGATATTAGCCATTTTAAATGGACAAATGTGATAGTTTATGACAAAATGAAAAGGAATGGCATCACATTCCTTATCAAAAAGGACATTTCAAGATTTACATCGAAGTATAACACTCAGATAATATCCATGTACCTACAAGAAAGAACTATTGTACCTAATTATAATACAATTGTTACCAACTTAATGTGGAAGATAATAAAAAGTCCAAGATTCTTACTAACTCCAGCAGTCTGAAATGTATTAAACATGCAAGCAAGCTGCATGATAATTGCTGGTGATTAGAATATGAAAGTTAAGACTACAACAGGATGGGTAACTTGGTGATAGAGTGCCAGATATCTTAAGAATTTTGCAACATCATTGGCTTATTGTAGTATAATTCTTAAAGAACAGTGACTGTATGTCAATTTCCCTAGGTAGAATACATAGAAATCAAATATACGATATTTGTGGAAAGAGACATTGGAGAAGCATCAATCAGAATAAGACTGGGCAGAATGTGGAACAGACTATCTAATTCTAACTTCAATCCAAGTTAAAGCTGAAGAAAATGAAAACAAGTCAATGAAAGCCAAAATATAACCTTGAGTACTGCCCAGCTGAATACAGAAATCGTCTCATGAATAGATTTGGTACATTGGATACTAATAGCTGAAGATCTCTTTCTGGAATGACATCAAGGACATACATGCAGAAGGCAAAGGGCCATTGAAAAGTCAGGAAAGAAAAGACCAAAGTGGGTATCAGGAGAGGCTCTGAAACTTGCTCTTGATCTTTGAGTGACTGCAGCAAATTAGAGTTCTTTCCCTAATTGCTCATAGTTTCCCTTCAGGCTGTTAATCGTAAGATCAGAAGTTTGAGGCTATCAGCTGCTCCCAGGAAGAAAGACAAGGATTTCTACTCCCTTCAAGAGTTACCATCTCAGAAACTCTCAGAGGGTGCCCCATAGGGTCACTGAAAAGAGCTGAATAGAAGATTTCAAAGGGGGGCTTAAGAAAGCAAAGCAAAGCATAATAAAATGTGCAAAGAAAACCAAAAGAGAAAGACATGCTAGCCATTTCTCAAGCGGAAAGAACTGAAGAAAAAAACAAATGACATCTTGAGTTGTAATATTGAATGACACAGGAAGCATCAAAAGAAGTTCAAAAAGAATACACAGAATTACAATACCAGACAGAATGAATGGAGTATTCTGGACCCTCCCTAGTGGAGCTCACTAGGAGGACAAAAGCAAGTCAAAACAATAGCATCAATCCATGGGCAATTGCAATAATGACGGCTTCGAGAAGGTTAGCCAAGAGTAAAACCAGGGCAAAAATGAGGGTCTTCACCTACCCTAGAGGTTCCAGGTTGGCTTTCTTGAGCAAGTGCCAGCTGACCCAAAATTTGAGATTTCACAGTAAGGAGTTCTGGTGGTGCTGTTGGGAACGTGTTAGCCTGCTAACCACAAGGTTGGTGGTTCAAACTCATTGGCTGCGCTGAGGGAGAAAGTAGAAGCTATCTGCTCCCATAAAGATTTACAGAAATTCTATATGGGCTCACGATGAGTTGAAATCTACTCAAAAGTTTAGGTAACCCAGCAGAGAAAGGGAAGCCATCTGAGCCAGAAGTGCTGGTTCTCTCCACTGTCTTGGGGCAGGGCCCTGAGAGGGCGAGCAGACCAGAACTACTCTAGGTAGCAGCTGCCTTCCCTCCAGCCCTGAGTTCTGCTCTACTTTAGCTTTGCTGTCCATGTTTTGTAGCCAAAATCTATGGCATACATTTGCTGGCTTTTTTTTCTTCTTAATCTTCTAGACTCATAATTCATGCTGAAGGCTGCAATCCTTGATCTTCACCAGCAAATGCTTCAGGTCCTCTTTTCTTTCAGCAAGCAAGGTTGTGTCATCTGCATATCACAGGTTGTAAATGACCCTTACTCCAATCCTGATGCAACATTCTTCATATAAACCAGCTTCTCTGAAGATCAAGAATTGAAGCCTTCAGTATGGATTATGAATCAATGTAAAAGAAGACCAAAATCCTCACAACTGGACCAATAAATAACGTCATGATAAATGGAGAAAAGTTGAAGTTGTCAAGGATTTCACCTTGCTTGGATCCACAATCAATGCTTATTGGAAGTGGCTAGTCAGCAGACCAAAAGATGTATTGCATTGGGTAATACTGCTGCACAAGACCTCTGTAGAGTATTGAAAAGGAAGGATGTTATTTTGAGGACTAAGATGTGCCTGACCCAAGATATGGCATTTTCAATTGTCTTATATGTATGTGAAAGTTGGACATTGAATAAGGATGAGTGAAAAAGAATAGATGCATTTGAATTATGGTGTTGGAGAAGAATATTGAAAGTAACATATGGACTACTAAAAGGACAAATCCATATGTCTTGGAAGAAGTACACTCAGACTGTCCCTTAAAGGCAAGGATAGTGAAACTTCCTATTACATACTTTGGACATCTTGACAGGAGAGACTAGACCCTGGAGAAAAACATCAAGTTTGCTAAAATAGAGGGGCATCAAGAAAGATGAAGGCCCTCAACTAGATGGATTGACACAGTAGCTGCAGTAATGAGCTCAAGCATAGGAACAATTCTGAGGGTGACACAGGACTGGAGAGTGTTTTGTCCTGTTGTGCACAGAATCTCTATGGGTTTGGAATCTCTTCTCTGACCCCCGTTGTTCTCAACAATGTTTCTTTGTTTAGTGTAATGCTGGGTACTTGGTCCCATTGACACCTCATGATCACATAGGCTGGTGTGCTTCTTCCATGTGGGCTTTGTTGCTTCTCAGCTAGATGGTCACTTGTTTAATTTCAAGCCTTTAAGACCCCAGATGCTATATATTTTGGTAGCTGGGCACCATCAGCTTTCTTCACCACATTTGCTTATGCATCCATTTTGTCTTCAGCCATCATGTTGGAATGGCGAGTATTACAGAATACCAGGTTGTTAGAACAAAGTGTTCTTGCATTAAGGGAGGGTTTGAGTAGAGATCCAAAGTCTGTCCACATACTCAGTGTTTTTCCACATAAATATATATACATTGGTCAATACCTCTATTTTTATGAATTAGTATGTTTACTTAAATATACACCTATATTTATACCTCTATCCACAGCTTTGATTCCTAGATCTTTCCTGTTTCCTTTTACCTTCCTCCTGCCCCACCATCATGTTCATCCTTCTTCTGCCTCTTAGTAATTCCTCTCAGCTAGATTGCTGTTGCTCCAATACCACTGGGATATCTATGGCCTCCTCATTTGTTACATTAAATTCCCTAGTTGTTCCCCTGTCTATGGCATTGTTTGCTCACTTCTTCCTTCCCCCGCCTCTCCTCCCCCTAGTCCCTCCAGAACGTTGCTTTCACCATAGGCTTGCTTCCCTTGCCTATCTTATATAGGTTGGCAAAACGATAATAATGAAGACAAAACAAAAAGAAAACAAAAGATCAAATAAAAAGAGATAAAAAATGCAAAAGCATACATAATTCCAGGTCTGTCCGCTGACCTTTATGACTATCTCCACGCTGGTCCTGGGAGAATTCTGATAACTGCCCCTCCTAGCCTGATGTCTATTTGGGGGGCTCCTCAGGGGCTTTGTGGTTTTGCTTTGCCCCAGTTGCTGATCTGTTATGTTCCCTTCTGGGTTTGCCCCACTGTGGAGGGTCAGACTGGACTCACTGCCCACCGTGTATCCCCAGTATTGCCCTCTGTTGCAGTAGGCTCCAGCAAGGGAACCTCATGTCTCCAGCTGTTGTCAGCCCTACGGTTCTCTTTGTGCCTTAGCAGCTCTGTGCAGGGATGTCATCCTCAGGGCTTCCTGTGCCAGTATGGGGTCTAGTCCCTCACTCTCTTTTTCCTTCTTGGTTTGTTTCTGTGAGGGTGCAGCAGGCTGGCCCCTCTCCCCAACCTGTAGATTTAGTGTTGTCCTCTGTAGCACATACTTCTAAGGATGGGGTCAGTTTGGCTCTGATGGGGGCCGGCACTGCAGACCTCTCTGTTCATGATTTGCTGCATGTGGTTACGTAGTCCTCAAGGTTTGGCTTGCTGTGGTGGGGTCTGCACTCATACCCCACTTCTGTGGACACAAACAATACCCTCCCCCTGGGTGGATTAGTGCCCTGCTACCCCAGTGCCATCATCTCTCTCTTTTTCTCCCCATCCCCTCTTTTCCCTTCTTTGTGTTGGAAGGACATGTATATCCTTGGGTTTTGT